TTGAATTTACCACAGAAGGATGGTAAGTTACGTCAGTGATTAATGATCATTCTGACGACGTATTCAGCTGCAGCTGAATCAACCATCCAGTAAAGAGAATTACATGGCATGCATAGCTAATGTCCAGGTAAGGGTAATAATAATTTTAGTAATAATAACTCATTTTACTTTTGTGAAAAGATATTGCACTACTAGTTATGATACCCATAATGCTTTCTTCTTCATTTTTAAAAGATATTTTCCTGAATTTTGCTAATGAAATTACTTTATTGGAAAGTCTCTTTAATCTGAAAGACCAGCAGTTTCATACCTTATGCTCTTGGCCATTGTGGGAATGCGAGTTAAAGGCACTTTGTTGCACTTTTTTTTTTACACTGCCCCTGTCAGCACCAGAAATTTGCAATGCAAAACTCTATGCTGCACCAATCTGTTGTGTTGTCATTCTTGATTGTTGGAATGTCTCAAAGTTTAAAAACAACAATAAAAATTCTGACTGCACCAGTGTAGGCGCCGGTCACAGGGACAACAGCCTATGGAGACAGCTCCAGACATCCCTCTCCCCAGTCACCACCTCCATCTTATCCAGGGAACACAAAGGCATTACCAGGCCACCAAGAGAAGTAATCTCTGCAGTGTGTCCTGGGTCTGCCCCGGGGCCTACTTCCAGTGGGACATGCCTGGAATACCTCACCCAGGAGGCATCCTAATCAGATACCCAAACCATCTCAACTCCTTTTGACGTGGAGGAGTAGTGGCTCTACACTGAGCGGCCAGCCACCCTTCAGAGAAAGACCATTTCTGCCGCTTGTATCTGCAGTTTAGTTCTTATGGTCACTGATCGGAGGTGAGGGTGGGATCGTAGATTGGCGGGTAAATTGACAGCTTCATTTTTGTGCTCAGCTCTCTGTCTCTCACCATGACAGACTGGTACAGCCAGTCACCACCCCGATGCGTTTGTCGGTCTCTCAGTTTCCTCTCCACTCACTCGTGAACAAGACCCTAAAACCTGCTCTCATTGGTGAAAAATACAGGGCGCCAGTGGTGAACCTGCCAGTTCTGGCATTTTATGGCAAATTCGGGCCCTCAGACCATGAAGTCTGTTTCTGATTGTTTGGTTAGAGACATTCACACCAGTGGCCTGCTCGAGATCATTTTGTAGCCTAGCAGTGCTCATCTTGTTCCTCCTTGCTCAAAGGAGCAGATACCGGCCACGCTGATGGGTTAAGGACCTTCTAAAATCCTGTCGAGCTCTCTCAGAGTAACTATCTGTCCTAGCATCTCCTCTATGCTCTTGAAACTGTGCTGGGAGAGACGGAAAACCTTCTGGACTATCTGTGTGACCTCTGTAGGGTTCAGGCATCCCATCACGCTACCAGTAATGACACTGGCCCCAGTCCAATGCAAAACTAGCAAAAAACAGAAAAGATAAGGAGGGAAAAAGGTCAGTGTCCTCCAGCTGTACAACCATTCCTTTGTGTCTCATTGTTGCCCCTCTAGTGCATTGTGGATTTCATTAACACCAAAGCAGCTGAGAATGACTAACAACCTCCTCTGCTACTTTCCTGACCACAACAATGTCCCACGAGTTTAACTGTCTTGATGCTGTACTCGGATTAAAAAGGGTTTTTTGCTGTTGTACTTATACAGTCTTTTCTTTCTTTCACAGAAACCTTGCAGGGCGAAAGTAAGTTTTTAAATAAAATACTTTTGATACTGAAATAAACAAAGAATGTAGTTCATAGTTATACTATATTACTAGTATAGTTTTTCCTGACTTTTTTTGTTTTTGCTCTGATGTAATGTGTTCAATTGCATTGCTCTCATACAGTCTTTCCTTTCTTCCGTAGGTGCTGAAAAAAAAGAGCGCAGTAAGCTTGTTTTATTCATAACTTTTGCTTACTTCAGTAAAATGTATATGGACAATTTTGTTGTAGTACCAAACATGCTTTAATGAAACTGGTGAATTCAAAAAGTGATCCCATATGGAAAAGATTTATATAAATCTTATAAAGTTCGTATCTGTCTTGTATGAAACTTGTATGAAAAGCATACAAGAGTGAAAACAGATATAAGATCCCTTGAAAAATTATATAAATGAAACTTGTATGTTTTGGATACTTACTAACAAAATATATGAAAGTAATGAGAAAGTGGCCACTTTCATGAGTAAATCATATGTTTTTACTATTTCTTTTCCATATGGGATCCCCCACTTTGAAAAAAAAAATCAAATTCTTAAACTAAAAATAATTTTTTAAATAATAAAACTAATTACAGAATTTTGCACTTGATGCATGCTCAACCATCCGGGTAAGTAAATCACCAAAAGTTGATTCTGTTCATCTGGACGTAGCGTCCTGCCTAAGCAAAAACCTGTAG